ACACCCATGTGTGTAGGACCCCAAATGATCACCATTAAATTTGGTACCGATCTCTAGAAAAGTTATCACATGAGTGTGGGATTTGACTTTTCTAGAGATTTGTGCCAAATTTAATGGTGATCCTTTGGGGTCCTACACACATGTGTGTGGGAGGGTCTCATCTGATCATTACTCATATATAATACATACATACATACATATAGTTGAAATAACTATAGAAAGATTGAAGGAAGAAAGAATGCTAAGAACTGTCATACCCCACAACCGCTTTGTGGCTGGTGTATCATGATGCGAGCATTTGGCATGGCATAGCGCATCCCCTTTTCTCCTCCAGCAAGAAGAAGGGCCCCTTGGCTAGCCGCAACTCCAAAACATATGGTTCCAACCTTTGGCTTTATCTGTAGATTTGGAAGAAGAAAACAGTTTCAGTGCTATGTTTGGACAGCTATTACAAGTAGTAAATTAGAAATCCAGTTATATATGTGGAAGAACAACATAACAAAGAAAGACACCCCAAAAGAGCAGATCTAATCTTTTAAGCATTTTGCTTTAAATGAATAAATTTTGTACTTCACAATACCCAATGTGTTCTCCTGAAAAGAAAATGCAAAAGCACCCAAAAACCAGTTCTATCCTTAGACAACAGGAAGGGCACAGAGTATCCCTCCGTTGCTCATTAAAGATTGCCTTTTTGTGGTCAGTCCTTCAGGAGATTTCTTAGGTGGACATAAGGAAGAAATTATTTTATAGAGCAAGTAGAAGACATATGTCCAAGAAAATTTTAGAGAGGTACCAATCAAAATAGATAAAAAAAGAGGTCGTTTGATGCCTGAGAGGAATAGGGAAGTCACCAAGACCAACGCAATGAGAAAAAGTCTCTAGTGTATGCAAAATATTCCCTGCAACCTATGGTCAGATAGGGGCAATCCCCTATGTTCATACTGCTTCCCCCAATGGGTACAAGAATTGTCCATAAAGAATGAATGACATTTTCAATAAGATATTGAACTGCTTTTGTACATCTATGAGATTGTGATCAAGCACAGGAACAAGTCACAACAAAGACATAAGATAGATCATGCATCAAGTATAGAGTGCCCCAATGTAAGTCTTCCAGCCAGGAGCCTACCTTGTCTAATCCTTGTATAGTGATTCTCCGAGGAATTTAACCATATATATACATATCACACAAATAGAATAATATATGTTCATTACTTTGCTACATAATTGACGACCACAAAATAAAGACCACATTCGCACGTCTCAGTAACTTAAACTATTACCCATACCTTAGGCTCTGGTATACCAACACAAGCCAAAGAACAACTTATCCATCCTACAACAATCTCCAGTTGCAACTGGCATGGGGATTGCTAGGCTGCCCTCCAAGTGGATTACCCTCCTTAATGGAAGATCCCCAAACAAAACTCTGAACTCAAAAACATTTCCCCAAAGCTCAAAACATTCTCAAAAAAAAATGTTAAAAGTACTCAAATAAGGAGCAAAGAGATTGTGTTAGACTTTAATACTCCTTTCAAATACATCAGAGCCCCTATTTGGAACTATCCCAGATCTCCAACCCAAAGACCATGGGTCATACTTACCCGAAAATTTACATACCAGAAAGGTCAAGTCAACAATCGTTAAAAAATATGCTGACAAGGTAAAACCACACTTCCAGAAGAAACTTATCATGGATGGAAGACATATTTCACAGGAGACATGTACCCATTTTTTAGATTTGTAAGAAACAAATTCCACCATGTGCAAACCCAACCACCCGCACACACACCCCCACCCCTCCCCCCCAAAAAAAAAAAAATAGAAACCCAACCACCCACAGAAAAATAAAATAAAATCACCCACACATCCGTTCTATATTTCTATGTCACACTTCCATGTGTTTCTTCAAAGCTCCTCATGCATTTCTCATTATCATCTATCAATTTTCCAAGATTTGGCAACAATGGAGTTCCCACTGTGATTGTTGTCATTAGCAGCAGTACCGGTAGCGCAGATGTAATAGCAGTAGCAGTAGCAATAGCTACAGTAGCAGCAGCAACAATAGCAACATCTTTTTTTTGTACTGGAAGTAATATATGCATGTACCATAGGATATATTTGGGTGTATAGAAAGCAGAGGCTTTCCCACATCATCACCAATAATCTGGTTTAGGAAGATTTAACAGTGATTTTGCACATTGATCACTAGAGCCAAATGTCAATTTTATCCACATTGATTTAGTAATCAATATTGAGAGCGAAAAAAAAGGACAATAGCAAATAAAGTCCATTTGGAGTGTAAATCCGTCTCCAACATAGGTTGGTAAAAGAAACATTGAATTCATTTATTTTACTTGGTGTGGCAGCAAAGGAATTTCATGAGCTTGGGCCCCAATCAACTTGATCTTAAGGTGACAAAATATGCGTTAACCAATAACCCTGGAAAGACCTGAGAGCTATCATGATCAAAGAATACGCCATTTACGGATTCTATTGACTGAAACATACTTAAACCCCATTCCAACCCTAGCGCAGACTTAGTAGCTTGAGACACGGTTTTTGCAAAGAAAAATATAGGGACGATCCAAAATTAGAGAAAGATGCAAAAAACCAAAGATAAAAGAAGGAGCACTTGTTGCTCTAGGGTTTTAAATAAAAGTCCATAACTTTATCATCTATTATGCTTGAGTACATCCCTTATATAAGAAAACCCTAAACAAGACTTAATCTTGACCATCTATCTAATCTAATCATTGCCATTTATTATAAAAGACTTTAAATGAATAAAAAGATATAAAAGACTCTAAAAATTACCATTTATGTCCGTAAGTGAATAAAAAGACTCAAGAAATAAATAAAAGACAAAATAAGAGACTTAATGACTAATTTTCCCTTTTGTGGTTCTTCCTGTAAACTTTAAGTTTCTCTCTTGTCTAGATACTCGAGAGCAATATTCTGGGCTGCATTAGTCCCCCTTCATCAAAAGAATTTTCCCTCGAATGTTCGTCGTCGAAGGTATCACTTCGACATGGAATGAGATGCTTGACATTAAAAACATCGGAAGTGTGAATGTGGCTGGGAAGCTTCAATTTGTAGGCATTATCATTAATCTTCTTCAAATTTTCGAACAGTCCTACCTTGACGATACTTGAGATCAAGGCGTGCCATTTTACTGCATTCCCCACAGAAATTTGATTAACCATGTATTGAGCCCTTTGAGAATTGCCATACTTGTAGTACATAAGCACACCACACTTGATCCTGAACACATCAGAAAATACTCTACCATGAATTTTGAAGCAACTCAAGATTAATGATGCATTACCCCTGTGATTTCCTTTAATTCGCATATATAGAAGTTCTCCACTCAAAACAAAATAATGTTGAAGCTGATCTCTAACATCAGTAATCACATAAGCACCCATTCGATGGTCTATCAAACCCACTAGCAAAAATCTCATAGAAAAATCACCAAACCCTTGGAGCGAATTTCACATGATACTCCACATTCAGGTAAAACATCAAGTAAAACAACATCTCTACTGCCACCGTCATCTCCTTGATCCTCCTTTTCTTCGCCTTCTTGTTCTCTATAGATTATCACCCATCAAATCATCATCAAAGATGGGACCCTCATCAAAGATGGGATCACTATCAAAGACATGATCATAATCTCCATCAAAATATTCCTAAGGGCCATCTGTCTACTCTAATGAAAGTCCATAACATTATCATCCACTATGCTTGAGTATATCTCTTATATAAGAAAACTCTAAACAAGACTTAATCCTTGCCATCCATCTAATCTAATCATGGCAATTTATTATAAAAGACTTTCACTAAATAAAAAGGCATAAAAGACTCTAAAAATTACTATTTATGCCCGTAAGTGAATAAAACAACTCAAGAAATAAATAAAAGACATAAAAAAATAGACTAAATGACTAATTTTCTCTTTTGGAGATCCTCCTGTAAACTTTAGGTTTATCTCCCTTGTCTACTCGAGAGCTGTATTCTGAGCTGCACCAAACCCACTCCATGTCTTCAATTATAAGAACAAACTATTATTACTACAGCACAACTACCTTTCCGTTTCCACCGTTTGGATTTATTAACTAAATAAAAGCTCTAAATGAAACATGCTTTACCTCTACAAGACTACAACCTTTACGTACTCTTTTTCTTTTTAACATCTTTGCAGGTCCATATATGTGATTTCAGGCTTGTCATGATTTTTTTTTTTTTCCTTTCATTAGATAGGATAGCAAGAATTCAAATCCAAGAGAACATGGTCCCGCAACTCCTATGCACACCGTGACCACTAAGTGAAGAGACCAACCCTAATTATACATATTTTGATGTTTTTTTTCACTTCTAAAATAAAGTCATTGTGCTTGAGGCCTTTTTCCTTGTGTTTTCTGATTTAAAGAACAACTGATGTGATACACTTGAAAGCAAATATTTCTATTTTTCTTATAACAACTGTGTTCAAGAGACTGACTTATACACTATACTCCATATCTGACTTCAGATGCAATAATCAGACTGCATAAAGAAAGATGGGGGAGAAGACATAATTAGGCACGCTTGAAAATCAATATGCTATATATGTAGTTATGTACTGGATATCAATGATTGGGTTCAGCAATACATGAAAATAGATAAGTAGTACAGCATAATTGGAAATAATTACAGGTGTATGCATTTCAAGTGATAGATTTTCTTTCAGGATTCAGATCATACCCATGACATACAATCGTAAATGGCCATCACAGAGTAAGTGCTTCCACCGGGGCAATTGAGATATATCTACAAAAGACCCAAAAAAAGAATTAGCCCCACAATTGCAAACTCTCAAATTTGGCAAAAGGAATGTCACTTATCTTCAACCCATTTTGGATCATTCCAATTACTGATATAGACCAAAAGAATGATAACCAAAAAATTGTTTGAAATCTACCAGTACATCTGCATCCTCATCAACAGCAGCTAGGGTCACAAGTTGTGATATGACTCGTTGGGCAACTTGAGAGTTAATAGGCTGCCCTATGAAGATTATACGGTTGCGAAATAGCACTGATGAAAGATCTAAAGGGCCCCCTGGTGTCATTATAGCTGGCATTACTGGTGGATTTCCCCTTTTTGCTGTTGTGACTGCTTCATAGCTACATTTGCAATCATTTACAATTATTAGGACCACCATCCATCAGATGGATCTATAGCATAAAACATGGTATTTAATCATTCATGCAAGCTAGTGCAGCTAATGCAGTGACAGCAAACCGTATTGGCTTCAATTGCATATACCTCTCACTCATGGATAATAACAAGCCAGTAATATAAATGACAAAGATCATTCCAACTCGAAAAGTCGAGATTGGACAACATAAATAAGTGAAAAGGAACATATATGCAATCATCCAAGCAAATACTGTTCTTTCATTAGAATCATCCAATGGTGCCTCTTGGTACTATCATTAATTGAAATTTTACAACTTTCTCACAAACTAGCAACAATAGTGCATGAATCACTCAGTGTGAGATGCGCTCGGTCATGAAGCAATAAGCTAATTGGAGGATGCACAGCATGACAGGAGCGAAGGGCACATGCAGAATATATTTGGGGATCAAAAGGTGAAGTTTCAAGAAGAAAAATACTGATTTGCTAGTAAATCTGACATTTCGTATCTAAGCATTGATATAAAGCAAGGTAATCCATAACAAGTGATGACTCCTGCAAGAATCAACCAGAGAACTTTCAAATAACCCAATTAATGGCCTGTATACCTGCACTTCAAGCACATGCTTGCACATGAAGCTGCCTTCTAAGCACTTTACTCATGATTAACATAAACTAATCTCAGATTTCCAATGAAGTGCATTGGATAATTGTGCTAAATGCATAAACTAGTCAAAAGATCTCGTCATCATTCACTGAGATATATACTTGGCGATCCAGATCCCACTGGCAAAAGGGAACCAAAGACACATATACAGAAGAAAATAGCTCGTGCGAAAGAGGGAAAAAAAGAAAATTTTAAAGGAAAACTGGTGATGATTAACATAATTAGAAGGCACACTTATGGTTCCTCCTTGCAAGTAAGTTCCCCATTTAAGTCCCCAAGGATAAAAAATATACTTCAAGAAGACCAAAAAATCCTTCATTGCATACTAAAATTCAAGCAGAGCTCCTGGAGAAAGGATTGACTGATAACAATATGATAAATGAGTTACAATAAGTTGCATGGATCAAGAAATTGATACTAAGCACTTGTCTTATCCAATTTCGTAGAAACCTTCACAATCTAAAAGATATCTGCTTTTCCCGATAATTGACAACCAAAAAGACATGAACACCTCAAAAGAGCAACAGCCATACGAGAAGTCATCAAATATCTGCATCTAATACACCATTCTGTACATTGACAAATACCTTAGTTCTCCATATTGATGAACATGATTATTATGCTTTAGTGATAAGCCATTCCTGCTTCCAAATAATCCTGAGAAAAAAACTATCCATTAGTTCGTGGAAATTCTACAAACAATTGAAAAGGTCAAAAAATTGAGCCTTCACATGTAAAAAGATTGGCATTTGACTGCACTTCTTAGATAGAATGAAAGGAAAAGACGTCCAGTTTATCTAATGAAGCCCCAAAGGATGTGATAGTAAAAGCATGTCAATATCATTCAAGAATACAATATAGAAGCAGTGAAAGCTCTCTTTACCATATGGGAATTTTTCTTGTTTTATCAAATAAATAATTTATATGCATGATATACATGGTGAGGCAGCCACGAAGCAAACTTCATGTTCAAGCCATGAGGTAAATCAGCAGCTACTCCTTCGATACGGAAACTGAGAGACAGAGAGAGAATTCGTTCCATGTGTTTATCAGACACAAACACCAAGTGCAAAATAATTGAGAATAGGAGGAATGAGAGTAACTACAATACAGCTTCTGAAAACTATCTCTCAAAAAGAAAATATTGCTTACAATACATAAAGAAATAAAACAAAATCCTAAGCAATATACATATTCAAAAAAAAAAAGTCATATCAACCAAATATTGCTTAAAATGCATAAAAAACAAATACATTTCATATGCAACATATCACCCACTTAGATCATGTTACGCCTCAAATTCAAAACTTACTTTGAGAATCAGGCAACGAACAGAATATCACCGAATTGGACAAACGCCTGCAAGCAATAATTACAATAAAATTGCATAGAACAGTTCATACAAAATACATAAGTAACAAAATAGCATAATAGAACTTGACTAGTATGGAGCATTACAAGAAAAATTAAAAGCAGTTCATATAAAAATATATATGAATTCAAATTTCAGTTAAGAACTGGTAATAATAAGTTGAATAATATGGCGGACTACAACAAAGATTAATAACAGTTTATAGAAAAATATATAAGCAATAAGTACAGAAAATAATTCAAAATTCAGTTAAGAACTCGAAATAATGACTCAAATAAACTGCACATACTTGTTTTGAGATGATAACTTGGAAACTGAATTTGGGAAACAAATTGATAACCCACAACTCGTGGAAACAGCCATAGAATCGTTCCCTTTTTCTGAAAAGAAAAGAATTACAAAAGAGCAAATTCATATATAACAAATATGGCATGAGAGATAATTAAAAAGAGATATGAATGATTAAAAAAAATGAACTTAAGAACATTTATTACGCTTGATTATAGAAATTACCCCAATTGTTTCAATAAGACAGGTTTAATAAGCTAACGGTGACCCACTCTGCAACATCTAAGTTTGAAATTGCCCAATGACTAGGAGAGAGAGGCTTTGAACAGAAAAATCGATTTAAGACACGAAAAAAGGAAAAGAAATGAAGAAACCAAACAGTTAGAACTCGCCAAATTCTCCAAAATAGCAAAAGTAATAGAAATATAAAAACCATGGGTTCTCTAAATTTGAGATAAACCTCCATGGAAAGCTTCGAATGCATGTGAAATTACACGGAGTAAACAGAAATCCTAGATCTTCGCTCACATTGTAATGGAGATTCAAGAATGAGGAGAAAATTAGGGCACAGTGAATTGCACAATACCTGGGAGTGAACCAGGAAATGAAGGGATGGGAAGGGGGGGTATATGGCTTTTTTTTACTACAAATGCCCTGCAGTTCTGATTAGCTGTGTCTCGCGTGCGGGGTAATAAAGTGTGCGGCGGTAACAAGACAAAGCAGATGGCTGGCTGCTCGGTTAAGTTTTGAATTAGTTAGGATTATATTTTTAAAAAAATTAAATTTAAATAATTAAAAATATAAAGTATATGAAAAAAAGAGTCAAATCTTATTTTATGAAATCAATTTTTTTTTGGAGGCCCGACAGGTCAGGCATCTGATTGATGCCCTAATCAGTTTGGTCCAAAGTAAATAATCAAATTTGGTCAAACTTTTCAAAATCAATGTTTTAACTTATTTGACAATCTCAATGAAATTAGACATATTTTTTAATATATTTTATATTTTAAACTATTTTATTTATTTTATTTTAAAAAATATATCCGATCCAACAAGTTCGACGAATGGTTGATCGAATTTTGACTTGTTAACACTCTTATATACTGTAAGAGTTTTTACTTAAGGAATCAAAATACTTATGATAGAGGTACTATTTGGGATTTTACACTTTTGTGAATATTCCTATTTATCATGTGTTTTTTAAAGAGTATTTTGAAATTAAATAAAACATATAGCTACATTGTTAAATAATTCATCTCACATAGGTATTTTAATAATTTTGTATTTTATTTTTTATATAAGAGGTCATAATCAATATTAGCCCTTTAATATAAAATATAGATTGAAATGTGTCGCAAGGTTCGTGAACTTTTATTTTGGACCCTATGCCTTATCAATGTCACAATCCTAACCACCTGATTTTATATCTAATAGTTAGTAACGATTGTGACTTCATTGTATCAAAGATTAATAGTCTTATTATATATATGGCTTTATTTTGCTAGTTAATCTAATAAAAATAAATTTGTTAACCCCAACTGAATTTAATAATACATTAGTTTGTCTTGATTTTCGACTGCATATTTGTTTTGCTTTGAACCTAACTGGTCAAGGCAACGATTAGTTGTCCAACCAATCGGACCACCTAGTACTGGTTGTTCTGAAATGGCTCGAATGATTATTATAAAAATGGTAGAATTTGTGGTAAGACCATTTATGCCAAAAAATTTCCGATGCCTGTAGCCCTTGTTATCACCTCTAATTGTCGAGGATGATTGTGACCTTCTTGTTTTTAAAATATACAGTCTTACATTACATAGCCCATGAACTTCTTGTTTTAAAAATATGCAGTCTTGTATTATATATCCCATGGGAAAGACCTTCTTTTTAAAAAAGTGCTTGAATGTAGCTTACAGAGGCTTGCTTGCAAAGATTAAAAATGTTACAACAAAATGTTTGCATGTCTTGGACACTGAGCTAACTTTGAAGTACCTGGCATAATGTTCTTTGAATCCCCTTCCACCTAATGGTTGTGTCCCCAAGTAGGATCAAATCCCTTTAACCCTTCAAGCACGGCTATCATCTCAAGCATTGTTGAGTCTTTGAGAAAGAGAGCAAGGAATGCTTTTGAGCATTTCTAGAGACGCCCTCGGATCTAGGCTACGGGATGATCATCCATCTGTGTTGAGCTTGATGGGCCCATGATTGGGCAGTCGTTAAAGACAAGATCTATCAGCTGAGACTGGTTTATAGAATGAGATGGTTTGCCGATTATTGTGAAAATCAGCCATACAGTAAACCTTAGACTCTTTCTAACACTATGCCAAAAAACTAACAATCTGATGTGGCCTTTAATAGCGTTAATATTGGCTTCCCTCCCTTCAACGATCCAATAGTTCATCTCAAGCCAAATGACCAAGATGATGGCCACGGCTGAAGCTTTCCACAAGAACAAGCCCACCGAAGGATTGGCTGTTAGTCCCAATAAAGAAAAATAAAATCAATAAACAACCTACTCGAATCTGTTCTTAAATCACACGAGGGACTTAAAGTTTCATACCAAAGCCTATTAACCAAGCCATCCGGTGACAGGCTATCTTGAAAGTTCTCTTGGTGAATCTTTCACATTCCATTTCTATTTTTCTATTATTTTCTCTCTATCTTTTCTAGAGGGGTTAACCTCTTTTTATAAAAAACACATTTATTTTGTAACTCTCACATTCAGGACCTATAAGAGTTGAGATCCAAATGTAACTCCTGCTTTAATTCCATTAAGTGTAGCTGATCAGGATTAACAAGTTGTCACCAAATTGTTAATCCTATGTAATGAGCTAAACCTGTCATTAGTCCACTAATGACTCAGATAATAGGATGTCATCTAAGTATTCCCACAATTTACAAGGAATTCAAACACACCACTTGGTTTTCCTTTCAGGGATACATCATATTAAAACTAAAAAATGGATCCATGTATATGGCATTGCCTCATATTAACCACATAGGATTTCACATGTACTTTAATATGGCTTTTGTACCATTATTGAAAAAATGAATTTTTGAGAGAAAAAAGGCCTGATAGGCTACATTTCCAACATGGGGGATGTGGGAAAAAGTTTTAACAAATTGATGTTAGGGCAGGCACCCAAAAGCAGCCCACTGTTGGTCTCCAACTGCACAATTGAGTAAAAGGTGACCAGTGGTTTCCCCTAAGGTTTTACACATGTGTCACACCCCAAGAATTTACAGTACCGTTATTCTTGAGATGTGACGGACAAAACATATATATATCTATTGATAGGACAAATTTACAGTGGCGAGGTCTTACAAAGTAAACAAAGAAAG